ATGTTTTTAACAGCAAATGACTATAATAATAATAATAATAATAAAAATAATAATAACAACAACAATAATAATAACAACAATAATAGTAATAACAATAATAACGATATTAGTAACGACAAAAAAAAATTATGAAATAATAAAATGTAGGGCTTTTAGATTTAATGTTATTTTCTTTCTCATCCACCTTGAAGTTTGTAGTAAAAGTGAATGACTCTTTCTTGCACAATATATGAGTATCGCACAGTTTCCAGCATAGAGAGAGTGAGAGAGAGGCGAAAAGGAGTAACTATATAATAAGAGTAACCGGATGCTGGAAATATGCTGCACATCATATCATTACGGACAAAAAAATTGTATACATGCACTCATACGTGTGTGTTTGTGTATAAATGTGTGTGTATGTGTGTGTGTGTGTTTACATCTGATATTACGTAGGAAGAAAAAGAGCAGTTACAAAAAATGTCAATTTCTTGAACGATAACAATAGCCAAGAAAATGTCTAAACTGAGCATAAACATAGATACAACTAATACGTATATGTACACATGTGTTGCACAATATTGTTTAGCAATTGTAAAATATAGGGTCCTGTTTATTAGAAAGGAGCGGATGCACGTGCACGGATATGTATACATATAATATATATATATATATTTATAGGTACTACTCGGTCAAAGTCAGTGTCCTCATAGCTCTCCTTTCGCGTGCCATTTCTCGATCTCATGGCCTAGTTGAACTATAGTACTGCCGAAAAAATTTTTTAAAATATTTTATAACTCCTTACAAGATAATTATGAGGTACGTGTCTCAAAGTGTCGAGGAGAATAAAAATCAAAGAACCCGTATTTTCGCTTTTTCAAAATTTCATTTCAATTATTAGATGTATTATCATGTATTCATAGCTCATACGTGCCATACTGTGGCCTCGATGTGCGTCTCTGCACTACTTATGTATACCCACTTTGTGGCTGTTACGTCGGTTTTTGTCTATTGCTTTTGTTCAACGCGCGTACACCACTATACTTACTTGTGTTGGGCTCAAATTGGTTGCGCGTGCAACAACCTTACTGCAGCACAGTTTTCTTTTTTTTTTTTTTCTTTTTTTTTTTTTCTAATTTTCTTGCATTAAAAAAAAAAAAATTTAGCACAATATCGAAAACCGTAAATCGGAGACCGCGATTGAACGTAAAATTATTGGTTAGTACGTAAAAACTAGGTGCACAACTTTTAAATTTAACAATGCACTGCTTGGTACAATATAATATCCCCTACTGACAGTCTATGTACTAAAAACAAAGAGGGAGACGCTGTTACTTTGTATGGAAAGATCGGCATTTTACCTTTTTATAAAAGACGTATGCAGCGGGTCCTGGACAATTTATTTACCGATTTTCTGCACTCGCTTATTTACTCCCCACTGCATGTACTATATATATACGAATGAAACGATCGTTTTACACAACATTGGAAATCACCGCCGTGACGTGCCGATCGTAAAGCAACGAGTATTACATTTTGCAACAGACTCTCCCCGAAAGGAGACAAAGATTTTACATCCGACACTACTCGTATGTGTATCCGTTTATCGAATATATTATTCGATATGTCCTATTGAATGTCATTTGTAAATACGTATATCCCGATGTGTGTGTGATTAATTTCGGGTTCGGTTCACAACATAGGTATCTATACACGCAATTGTACAGAGACTCAACAAACAGCTATGTACCAATATTAGATGTGTAAATCATTCGATGAAATTCACTACTCATAAGTGTACTTTAAAAATGAATAAGAAAATATTTTTTTTTTACAAATTTGTCCAACAGCTTGCCTTTGCAACAATATTGTTCTTCTGGAAGCAAATTAAGGTGTATAATCAACAAAAAATTTGGGCTTGAAGCTTTTCAAGAGAATCGCTTGTACACGTGAAAAAAGGATGCCTGCGTGTAAGCTGAGAATCAAAGTATGTTAAATATAATATATACGTTCATGCATATATCATATATTAAACGTCACATAATAATAATAATATCCTTATATAAGCGCGCGACCGTATAATACACAAATATGTGTGTGTAGTACCGGCAACAACGAGCACGCTTGAATATTATACTTGCTATATAAGTACGTACTTGTACATACATCCCTCTTCTCGTCTTACTCATTTCTCTGACGCCATATTATATTATAACGGAGCGCTTATCTGCTTCATTACGAATTTACTCTCTCATCGCCTACTCGGTTTTTCTCTACTCCTACTACCACTAAAAAAATTGCAACCTTTTTTTTTTATTAGTATTTCCATCAGAAAAGTTGTTTAAGAAGCTATCAATTTATTTCCTGCAAAGACGTAATAATGAAATGCTTGATCGAGTA